TGAGAAGGGAGTAAAGGTTGAGCGCTGTGCCTATATTTACATCAGCTCAAAAAAGACAGAGCTGAGATGAGTCGTGCTGGTAAACATTATTCGCCGGCAGCTCAGAGAGCATTTATAAATGTCGCAGTTAACATTCCTGGCAAAGCTAACTTTATTCTAAAATGGAAAAAAAAAACAGCCTTCTAATTTCTGCACAACATAATTATGATTAGATTAAGGAAGCTAGGCTAGTTCACACCTACATTTAGTTTTCTGCCGAATAACAGACCTCGTGAGAAGGAAAATGAGGCCAAAGGCAACTTCTTCCTCTCCGCTTTAAGGTAAAGAAAACCGGTGCTACTTGCAAAACTGTGGATTTTAAAAACACAAAATGTGTCACCAGGAGATAAAACAGACCACATACGTTGATGTCTGAGAATTTTCTTGCAGCCGGGCTTTGTGTTTTCACAGATTGGTGTGAGTGACATGTAAACTCTTTTTCCCCCCACTTCTTCTCTATTGTGTGTAAAGTGCTGATAATCTACATGAGGACTTTTGTATTCTTGGTGACAGCTAGGATCCCATGCTGACACAAGCCGACGCCACGCATAATGATACATTTATAGAGGAACTGACGAAACAAAAGCAAAAGCAAGCATACAGTATATGGATGCCACCCCCCTTTAACAATATGTGCCACGTGGATATCAGCCATGGTGAACGCAGTAAAATAAACAGGCAGTAAAATCGCTGCTTCTCTGCAGGGCTTTTAGTTTTGCCCCGGTAGCCATAGTGACAAAAGGGGGGGGTTTGCAAAGTGAACCCTACCATGTTGCACACGTGAGGAGATGGGAGCTTATGAAAGGCGAATTTGCATTGAAACATAAGGTTAAATGAAGCGCACGGAGGCTGGAGCACGGTGAAAAAACAACCCGGTGACCCTCTCTTCGTGGTCCGACACGGAGGCCCACATTTCATTTGGACAGGCCAAGAGCGAGGGACGGAGACACACGAAGAGGCCGAGATAAAAAGAGGAAAAGAAGGAGAGGAGGTGGCGAGGAGGGGGAGTCTGTGACCCCCCCCCCCCCCCCCGTTCTGCCCCTGCTCTCTATTTTTGTTTCCTCTTTTTGTGCGAGCTCAACGCGCACACTCGCCGTGCAATGGATTTTCAACTTGGTCCTCATCAGTTGTGTGCCTGATGAAACAAACACTGACAGCCTCTTTACATTTGTAAAGGCCCCTGCAGCAGCTGTGCTTGTCTCACACACACACACACACACACACACACACACACACACACACACACACACACACACACACACACA